CGCACCCTGGGAATAGGCTCTAGCTGTTCCTCTGCCTCACTGCTGTCTAGCTCTGTAGGCATCTGATCACTGCCAGAAAGCCTCGGCCCCCTCTCTGTCTCTAACGCAGAGCCCTCGTCCGAGCCTTCCCCAGCCTCCAGGACTGGCCCATGCTCCTCCCCAACCTCCTCACTGTCCGACTCTGCTGCCAGCTCTGCTGGCCGCTGGTGGGCCACAACATGTGATGCCTACCTCATTGAGGGTCACAAACTCAGCATCCAATCCCACCAAGTCTCCAACCTGTGGCATTTCGCTCAGCATGAGGGGGATGAAAGTGGCGTGACATTTGCGCTGTTTGCGAGCAAGGGAAGCCTCGGCAAGCAACACGCTGGCTTCAATCGGGTTCTTGACTTGAAAAAGAAAATGAAATTTGATGACAGTTGACTCACTCAGAGATTACATTCGGTTTACAGAAAGACTAAACAGAAAGGGAAATCCCATCATGATCAGGGGATGCCCCAAAGAAAACCTCAAGAGCATAATTTCTTCCTTCCTACAAAAGATACTATTTTCTAAGAATTAGTTGATCGTTCAAACCTAATGGGCCTAAAACCCTTAAAAGAAAACCTCTAGTGTCATAGGACTGACTTCTCTAGAAGAATTGAACAACAGAATTTAAAACAAGGATTTTTATTTTAGGAAGACAGATCCATAACATGGGCAACTCAATCCTGAAGTTGGTCACATCAGTTGACACAGTTCTAGAAACATGCCAAATAGATTTCTGAGGGCACATAGAGTGCAGTTTCAGGAATCCACAATGTCCATACACAGCCAATTTAATTCAAAATACATTAAAATTAAGATGGAAAACATCACTGCAGCTGCTTCTCAAAAAGTGACCAGCCACCTTAAAGTAAATATCTGGACATGCTGTTTTCTGTGGAAAAACAGCTGCATGACTGCTTCAGCATTCATTTAAACACCCTCCAACAATTTCTATTTCACAGCACAACAAAAGTGTTTTGGCTAGCAATGTTTTTTATCCTTGACGCGACCTCTGTTGTCTATGCTGATGGGCCTTTTCATCTCATGATGATCGCTCAGTTTGTTTCACTTCCTCTTGAGATCACCGCACTTCCTTGCAAAACATATTTATTTTGTTGTCTCAATCTTTGTGGTGTTAACTTATGACCACCTCTCAAAAATTCCATCCTCACACTCACCGACTGTGAAGGAGGGCAAGGCTATTTCTCCTCCCGACTGTACAACGCTATTATATGATGCTTCTCTCGCTGGAATTTCCATTTGGCCTGCCGTAAAGGCAATTAAGGAAAAGATCAAGGAGTGGGTGCCCAGTGTAAGGAAGGCTGAAAGTGAGGTAATTGGGGTTGTTCAACATGAGAACACAGCTCACTCCAAGCAAGATAGAAACCTCCCCCACCCACCCACCCCACCCTTCCTAGGGCCCTGAAGATTTCATGTGCATTTGCTGAATATGTACAAAATAGGTCCCTGAAAAAGAATCAAGTGAGGATATAAGAAAAATTAACTGTCTGAAGGCTAAGCTAGTCATATACAATAGAATCCCTTATGCCACCAGGCTTGAAATTTTGGACTATGGCAACCTTGAACTACATCGCCTANATTCTGAATATGCTAGAAAATGAATAATAAAAAACAAAGCAAAATGGAAATAACAAGCTTCAGCTCAACCATAGCAAGACTAAGTGATTTTGGGTATTAGGCAGTGGTGGGATTCAATTTTTTTTCCTACCAGTTCTGTGGGTGTGGCTTGGTGGGCGTGGCAGGGGAAGGATACTGTAAAATCTCCATTCCCTACCCACTCGAGGGGAAGGATACTTTAAATTCTCCATTCCTTCTCCACTCCAGGGGAAGGTTACTGCAAAATCCCCATTTCCTCCCGATCATCTGGGACTCGGGAGGCAGAAAATAGATGGGGGAGGGGCCAGTCAGAGGTGGTATTTACCAGTTTTCCGAACTGCTCAAAATTTCCACTACTAGTTCTTCAGAGCTGGTAAGAACCTTCTGAATACCATATCTGGTGTTAGGGGTTCCTGGTTCTTGAGACTTTCCACTTTTTGTTTTAGGTGGGGTTGTGCTACCCCAAAAGGAACCTGGGTGCAATTTGGGGGTGGTCTTCACAGCTCCTGTTCAAGGAACAAGTGAAAGCCATCCCCCTAAAGGCCTTTGCACAACTATGTGTTGTGTGCTGGTCCTGGACCAGGAAGCCCTGCTCGGGGTCTCACATATCTTTGTCAGGCACCTCTGCTCTGTGGGCTGCACTGGTCGCCAGTCTGCTTCCAGGTGCAATTCAAGATGCTGGTGATGACCTAAAAAGCCCTTCATGGCACAGAACCAGGTTATTTGAGGTATCGTCTCTCTACAGGCAGGTCCCATCAAGTTTTTTTCTGTCCTGGCTCCTTCTCTGTGGAACATCCTTCCTCCAGAGCTCAGATTGATCCCTGTTCACTTTTTGCATGGTCTTAAAAACACGGAATATGTTTTTGAAGTTGTGTACCTGTTCTTGTGTGGAAATGTAATCATCAATGAAAGGAACGCCCTCATTGGGACCCTGCCCCCGGACACACGTGATCCTGGCCACTGACATCTGACTAGGTTTGATCGTGGATTTGGTCCCGTCACTGCGGAGCTCAGCTTCCTCCTATTGCAGATGATGAAAGGGTGAATATATACTGCCTGTGATCGAAAGGCTGTATCCTAGATCCAGAAATCTTGTCTCTTCTCCTAATGTGTGTATGTTCTGACCTAGGCTTCCCCAAAAACACGAGGCAGAGTCCTGGTCCTGACAAAACTGCTTTTATTAAATGAATATGAATTCCTCTTATTCACATTCAGCAAAGGCCTGGCAACCTGTCTTTCAAAGGAATATGACTACAGACCTTATCTGTCTTGGAAAGCTGCCACATAATGTTTTCCAAATGAGGTGCTGTGC